TGTCTGACCGAAATTAAATTAAATGTAGAACAAATTGAGACTTTTTCTTCCGAATAAACTCTCCACCAGAGTTTTCAAAGTAATCCCATTCCCAACAATGTTTCTAACACCTTTTTCCCCAACAGATTTGTCGTCTGAAATCAAGGGTTACGAATACAATATAAACTCATCTCAAATATTTCTCATCAAATTTCCAACCGCAAATACCATTCATCTGAGCCAAGGACAAGGTTACTTCTTAACTGAGTAATTCATTAATCCCATTAAGCTATGGGAGTGCAACATCAGAGGGATCAAAATGTTGATGTCTCCTTTTTCTACCAAGTATGGAACAAAACCTATTTGAAAGGCTGAAATGAAGAAAGCAGAGGGCTTTTGTTACGACCTCTCACAGGAAAAGAACCAGATATGAACGTATGCCTTGCTTAGCATCAAACCCATGAGCGTGGGGTAGATGAAACCGGTAGCATGCTGGGAATTGTGCATGTGCTAAAGTGAGAGGAGGTGGGTGTGCTCCTTTCCTTGCATGTGTGAGGTGGCCAGAAAGTTGTGTATTTTTGTTTAAAGTCGGTGCCCAAGTAAAACATTACTCGTGTGGACCCTTGCTGAATGAGCAACCTCCCCACTTGAGCACTGAGGCCGCCTTATGGATAACATACGTCTGCGGGGGGAAAAGGGAGGTATAGAGAGCGGAGAAATGAAAATAAAAGCCGCGAATCAATAATCATGTTTGACAACGGCAACTGACTGGAACTGGAAATATTTCAGAGAGGAACGCAACTGTGCGAGATGCAGCAGTTCACAGGGTGTGTTTTGTCAAAGGCGGCCACTGTTACCGCTGCCAAAAAAGTTGCATTCCACCCCCAGACTGGATGGCTTTAGGATCTGCACGCAGGCAGGAGGGGGGGGTTTGGTGATTTCCATCATACTTCACTGACGCTCTATGTTTTGATACCGTCAGAATTAATGAGGAACATGTCCACCTTGCACATACACCAAACATTAAGTCCATACATCAAACCAAAGGCTAGGAAAATAAATGCTGACTTATACTACGGTTCCAGTTCTTTCTAGTTTCACCCCAGAAAGCAAGAAATATTCCCTCAAATATGTGGTTATTTTGAACTTCAAGAAATTTTCTATAGAGGTTTTAAACAACTGACTGAAGCTGAAAGTCTAGGTTGCGCCCTCACAACACTTTATTTTGGTGAATTCCAACACTGCAAGTGAGAAAGTTTGTGTATGTGTTTCTGCCCAGTCAGCCCAATGGCAGAAAGAAATGATGTGCATGCAAGGAATCAGCCAGAGGATTAGACCACACTTTCAACTATGCTGCTCTCCCTCTCTATGGGAGAGAATATTAGAGTGCAAAATGTATATGTGTACAGTATGTTTCAGAAGAGATCGGGTTGACTTTAAGTCATCATATGTGTGAGGATAAATTGTATGTCAGAGTGTGTTTGCACTTTTCATTTATGGGGACAGTTTGCACTTCAGATGGGAACCAGTTTTGAAAAAAAAAAAAAAAAAACTTTGAAAAAAGTGGTTTATTAATAAAGTAAATCATACTAAGGAGGATTAGAATTTACATTTTCCTTTGTGCCATTTACCTTATCTACGCACACATATATTATTCTCATTACTGTTTTTACTTCATGCTTCAACTCTCAATAAGAATAGAGTGCCGAAGTGATGACGTCACTTTGTAGGACAACTCGGAAGCTAGCGGCGCATGGGTTCCCTCGGTCGAAAAGCAATGCATTTTCCCCATAGACTTTTGGAAAATCGCAAAAAAAAAATAAGTTCTGTATTTAACAATGAGTTGTGACCCTTACACGTTTTGTCTATCAAGATCATCTTTACAAGTTAATCCAACATTTATAAATTTTGAAGCCTTTATAAAGATTTTAAAAAACACAATCAGACACAATAAAGTTTAAAAAACCACAAGCAGGTTATAACTGTGTGTTCTGTGTCATAGATCAAAACGTGAAAATATTTAGAGGCTTTGTTCACCACAGACCTTATTTTAGGTGATTTAGCAAAAACCCATTCAAAAATCCCATAGACTTTAGAGTGAGGGAACCGGAAGTGCTAAATGCTAACTCACTTCCGCGTTTTGGCCTACAGAGTGACGTCGTAACTTCGGCACTCTATTACAAAAACATGGAAAAGCAAAATGTGCTTGGAAAAGCACAAACTTTTTGATTGCTTTTGACCTGTATCTGGAAGCATATTAATATAAAAATGCAAAAGTAAGAACTATTCCACTCTTTGTTATCAACAATGTCATATCAACAAGTTTTTTTTTTTAGAAAGGACATTTTAAAAGATAAAGTTAGGAGAATTATGGAGAATCATAGAATTATTAATCATTTGTAGTAATCAAATCCATAAAAAATATAACTAGTCTGATTACGAGTATTTTAAAATGCAATATAATCTAATTACAAGTAGGCCTATTCATTTCCATGTGATTACGTAATCCTGGTTACATATAATCAGTTACTACCCAGCACTGTGTGGGTGTTAAGCAGGGAAGAAGGATTTTCCATAGTCTCAGACCATCATCAGTTTGTATCATTGAGCTCCATGAACTGATGTCAGATAACCGAGACGTACAAAATGAGCAGTGCTGTGGGTCCCAAGGACCAGGAGCAAAAGCCACTGGTAGAGACACTACAATGTCAACATACTCCATCAAAATGACTAATGACCTAGCACCACGTTTCATTATTTTTCATAGATGAAGTCAACATGACTGCAGCTAGACTTGTCCAGGCTGAGTAAATACAGCTTGATCTCCAACTAGTCACCTAGAGGAATACAACACGAGTACAAACTGTTCACAGAACAGCACACTGAATCAAAGATGTAATGTGTGGCCGAGTTCCACGAGGTCATAAACCTCATCAATGCTAAAGTAAACTTTGTATTAAGCAGAGCTCGGTTTGTCCCCCTTAACTATAGCAAGCAATCGGCTATGACTGCACTTCAGAGCACAAGAGACATAGTTGGTCACTGTGCTGCTGAAAAGCCAAAAGTGATGCATTAGATTTGAATAATAAAAGCACAGTGCACAATTCTCACACCTTTGATTGGTACCTTTTAAAAAAACACAAGTCTGCCACATGAATTTAGACACTTAATGAGACAGGATTCTCTAAGGCACACCACAGTTAGAAAGGGATTAATTAAAGAAAAAGACAAGTAAAAAGGGTTAATGGTGCCAACACACAGATTCTCTAAGAGAAGTCGGCGGAACTGCAGCATTAGGGATACAAATGTTAAAGCCGACTGAAGAACAACTCCATCCAATACTGTCAGCACACACTCCATGAGAAGCTTTAAAACCAATTAGTGAATATTGATGAAGCAACTGAAGGTATTAGGTGCCACCAATGAATTAAAGGCTATGAGCTTAAGACCATTATTTCCAAAGTAAAAGGCTACACTGACAAACCACTACAAGCACTGCACAAAGTGACAGCTTTAGCACTTCCTTTTTACACATGCAAATTCTTAATTACTTTATACGAGTAGAGCGCAGATGACTTTGGGTACATTCACAATGGAACGTATGTCTGTATATGTAATACAGGTCTGTTTTTTTTTTTTTTTTTTTTTTTTTTTTTTTAACAATGACATTTCACACTGAATGTCATATTAAAGTATATATTATGATATCTGTCATGTTGGTTGCATATGGTTTTGGAAAAAAAAAAAAAAACATTTTCAAGAATTTCTTGGTATTGACTCTACAAATAGTGTAACCAAGTTAAAAATAATCTATGTATGTATGTATATATATATATATATATTAGGGCTGTGCAAAAATTAATTGCGATTAATCGCATCCAAAATAAAAGTCTGTGTTCACATAACATATTTGTGTGTGCTGTATATAATTATTTTGTATATATTAATACCTATGCATTGCATGCATGTATATATTTAAGAATTATTTGCGCTTAAATTCTGTATATATATATATATATATATATATATATATATATATATATATATATATATATATATAATAATCTATATTATATAAATATAAATATTTTATATATGAATAACACATTTTCTTAAATATATACATGCATGTGTGTGTATTTATATATACAAAATAATTATATACAGCACACACAAATTTATTATGTAAACACAGACTTTTATTTTGGATGCGATTAAAGGCAATTCATTTTTGCACAGCCCTAATATATATATATTAATAACTTTTTAAAAACAAAAATAGAAAACATCACTGAACTTACTTAAGCCGTTTTGTATTATTTTCCTGTTATATCTTTAAAGCTGCTTTGAAACCATCTGTATTGTAAAAAGCGCTATATAAATAAATGTGACTTGACAAAAGAAATTTGTCAATTTGGCTTCCTGTGTAAACATTGCCATATTACTGTATACATAGGGTGTTTTTCCACATACGGAAAAAATATCTTGACATATCTTAAGTCTCAAGACAAGGAATTTCACTGACCCTAAACAAAAGAGTAATAAGTCTTGAATATGTAGTTCTTAATGTCCACCGTGTCTCAGACACTTTGTGTATATTGACCGAGATGCTTCCAACAAACTAAGCAACAGCTTTCTCTCACAGTAATGCACTGTCCCCATTTAACCTTCTTTAGATAATGAAACATAGCACACATTTGGTTCTAAGCTGCCTTGAACACCAGCTGACTGGATAGGGGTCAGGAAAGAGAGGAGAACAATCCACACCCTAACTAGTGGAGCAGCCTCCTGCAGATTGTGAACTGTCAGTACTAAAACACTCTCCGCCTACTTGCTCTAATGAATCTGCTAGAATTCACAGGCACATTGGCAGATGTTCCAAAGGTCTGCCACTCTCTCATTTGTGCCGCCCACCTCAAAGCTCTCTCGTTTCAGATCTTGCTCTCATAATCAGAGTCTTCTCATCTTTTCTAAACCACAGCACATTAACTAAAAACTTCTCATGGGAAAATATCTCTCACCTTCCAGTTTACGCGGCTCAGTTCTTTGTCAACACGTTGTTCAAAGGTGATTTCTGTAAACTGCGAGTTTAGATTGCAGTGAAGACCGTTTAGTCTCTCAGTCTCCACCACGTGAAAGGTTCTCACTGACTGGGTCTCATGTAGTCTCCGGCAATATTCAATCCTCTCTGAACCATGTGGAACTGCTTAAACACAAACACAAACACAGTGTGTAAAGCCAATCTCCAACTGTCACAGGACATTGACCTTCATCCTCAAGTGCAATATACAGTGATTGCTTTCACAGATGTGTTCTGTTCTAACTAAACTTATAAAGAAAGTTCCAGCAACTCATTTCCTTTTGGTTTATCTCTAATTCCCACCTTATCACATCCCATAATTTACATTAAATTGTCTATGATTAGCCTTCCAATAATATTCTGTTCAATTATTTTAGTCAAAATGAAACAATAAAATAAAATATTTCTGCATCTTGCGATTGTGTTTGAGTCAGACCTGATCCTGTATTATTGCCATCAGTGCCAATAATGAACCTTTATCTTTAATGGCCAAAAGTGGCGTTGCATTCTCGCTTTTTATTCTGCGTTTAGACGAGCGTTTTTGGTGGGAAATCCGTGTGCATATGGTGACGCAAAAGAGTGTGAAATTCAATGTAGTATGCACTCCAGGCGGCTAGGTGGCAACATGAAGCACTGCCACACAACAACACCAAGTCTGCGACCCTGCGTACAACCTTCACTGTCAAGCAGACTTTTGCGTTTTTACCGTTTACACAGGAACTGGAGCGTGGTGGAGCGTTTTTAAGATTTCCAATCTGGAGGGTGGTTTCACTTTTTTGCGTTTTTAAGCTCCAAAAACGCTGTCGCCGTGTAAACGAAAGGCACATCTGATAAAATGTTTTTACGTTTTCAGATTTCACCCACGAGCGTTTTCGTGTAAACATGGCCTAAGTATAAAAGAATAGCCACACCACAACTTATAATAATGACACAGGAGGATATCATTGAATCACTTTCAGAATGATGAACGATGAAAACACTGACAGCCAATCAGAATCCACCAGACTTTAAAGAGCTAGAGAATTTAAAGCGATAGACGCCAAAACTGCAGTGCGCGCTTAGAATAAACAGAACTTTATCATCTTCTGATGTGGATGAGAATATAGTTATAGTTATAGTTTTAGTTATGATTCTTGCTGTGAATGGGCCTTAGGAGTGTAGTAGAAGAAGAAAATAGCTAAAAATTTCATGACAACACAACCTGGCTGATAGAATCACAGAAACATTTCAACCACGTTCACGTTCTACATGACATTCAATGCAGCAGACAGAATTTTAAAAAAGTTACTTTTATTCCATAGTTAATTTCAGTGTTATTTTAACATTTATCCATCAATCTATTTGAAATAGTTTTATTTTCATGTTAGTAAAGTAAGTACATTATTAATGCACTCTTGTCATTTTGTTCTATATTTCTTTTTTTGGTTTTAACTTTGTTCAATTTTTAATTACGTTTTTCAGTTTTAGTAATTTTAGCACTTCAACTTTCAGGTCATTTCATACTTTAGGCTGATACATACTTTTATTACTGAAATCTAATTCTCTTTAGACATAACAACACTAGTCCATTCCATGCTTGAAGATCCCTCTAAAATAACTGTACACTTTGTTTGTAAAATAATCAGATACTTACAAAAAGTATGGAGATTACATTTTTAATTAATTAAAAAGTAAAGCCAGACCGATATATCGGAAGACCGATATTATCGGCCGATATTAGGCACTATCGGTATCGGCAGTTATAATGGCAGATAAATGAATATTTCAAAAATAAAATAAAAACGGACGAAAAACACTCCTTGATCCATGTCATGAGTGTTGGAGTTGTATAGTTTGTCCACCAGAGGGCACTCTACACCGTTCCTGTTGGCAACAGTCGTTGAGTTGGTCACGAGACATACATTGCTTGAATAACAAGTAAAAGAACATCCTCATCAGTTCACTTAACTCAAGCATGACAAAAACATGTCCAGTTTAAAATAAATAAATAAAATATCGGCCGATATATCGGAATATCGGATTTGAACGGTATCGGTCTTTAAAATCCTTTATCGGTCGGGCTCTATTAAAAAGCCTAAAGAAAATACCAAAAATATATAGTGCACATACAACTGGCATTTTGTAGATCACAGAGATTAAATAAGTACAGTAATGCATGCTGAAAATTGCACAGGCGAGAAATAAAGTATGAAATCTTGTGAGCCCACAAGCTACAAAACAGCCAAAGTGCCAAACCACAGATATTTATCTCATTCAGCTCAAATGACATTTTCCACAGGAGTCGACTAATAAGTAAAAAGGAATAACAGAGGAATGAATTCAGCAAAACAGAAGTAATATGTAGGTGTCAGGGTGTGAGTGAGAGGCAGCAATGGAAAACAGGCAAGAAGAGGAAGAGGAGGGGAGGTTATTCTGGGTGGAACAAGGAAGCTTGGATGTTGTGTGCCAATCTGAACCATAAAGGGATTTTCTGATGAGAAAGCAGGAAAGAGGATGGGAAGAGAGAGGATAGGAGACTTCACAGTACAGTAACATCTGTGATGCATTTGCATTGAGCTGCGAATAGAGCACCAGGTTCATGTGCTGGAGAGAAATTCGCAACAGTCACTGCTCAGCATATCAATCTACAAGTCAAATTTAAGACATTTATAGACCTGACCTGAACAAATACAATTAATACAGTACTCTGTACTGTATGTTTATGTTTGATTATCACATTAGCTTACAATGCTTCTGATTCTGTACTCTCTTAGACGAGGATGCATACCAGTGGAAAAAAAGTGGGGAAGCGTTTTTAGGCCCTGCCTTTTGCACTGTAAACAGATTAATACAACTTTAAAGACTACAAATGCTACAGTAAAAACATGTTGGTTAACAGTAAGTTCTCTTATGGTGTTCTGTGTTTCACATTGTGCACCTTGGCTTCTATATATTACAATTTACCTCAGCTTGTTGAAGAGTTATTTGTGATTAACCACCACCTGTGATGTCCTTGTGATTATCTCTTCCCATCTATGTTTATATGGTGGTTGTCAGTATAGATGTTAAAGATACAAAACAGATTTTAATAGCAGTATGGCCTGGCTAAATCAGCAGAAAGGGGCTGTTGTTGGATTTATGACAATTACTATTTTAAATTTTAAAATGTACAGGGTTGCTGTGTAAACGTTTTACGGAATTATTCTGCAACCACTAGGGATGCACGATATATCGGCCACATTATCGATATCGGCCGATATATGATCATTTTTTATGTTATCGTTATCGGCCCAACAAGAACATTTAGCCGATATCCAAAAGCCAATAAATCATGTATTATTTTCTTCAGCTAAGACACTTTAAATGCGCACTGTTCAACATAATGCTTTTAAATTGCTTGAAATACGATTGAAATCACTTTAAAAAAGGAAAAATCCCGTTAAAGTGCAAAATATGCAGCGCAAGTCTGTCATATCGGCCACTAGAGCCAGACCGATATATCGGCCGGCCGATATTAGGCATTTTCCATAATATCGGTATCGGCAGTTATAATGGCCGATAAATGAATATTTAAAAAATAAAATACAAACGGACGAAACACGCTTCAATCATCTCTCCTTGGCCTGTTATATTGAAAATGTATGTTTTACAATTTGCAGTATGATGTTATCTATTGCTAAATTATGGCTCATCATAGACTAGCTAACCACAAAGCAAGCTAACGACACTATCATCAGTGGAAGACCGCTAACGTTAACATTAATGAGCTTGGAAAGCACAATGAACTTTTTCTGCCTAAATAAAGTCATTATTACTGTATTTATAACATCTCTAGTTACAGTTAGAACATTTAGACATAGAGAAAAAGTATCAAACGTATCTTGTGAAGAAAATTTAGCTTTTCTTTTACACTTGTGTGAAATCCAACAATATTTAATAAAAAAAAATATATATCGGCCGATATATCGCAATATCGGATTTTAAAACCCAAAAATATTTGTATCGGTATCGGCCTTCAAAATCCTTTATCGGTCGGGCTCTATCGGCTACACAACATTAATATAAGAACATCATAATTGTGTTTGTATCTTGGCTTTAAATGAAGAGACTTTTTATAATCAGGCTCTCAAAAATTGTCTAAAAATTTGGATTTAGATTTATCGGCCAATATATCGGTTATCGGCTTTCAAATATAAAGAATTATCGGTATCGGCCAAAATTGTCATATCGGTGCATCCTTAGCAACCACAGATGTGTTTTCGTTGTTGTTGTAAAATTACAAGTATTTTTCTCCTTAAGCCCCGCATGATAAACATAAGCATTAAATAAAGCAATATACTCAGAAAGGCCTGTCTCAACTCCATTGTAATGCCCTATGGGGAACCAGATGTGCCCTTCAGTCTCTCCAAAAGTGCGAAAGTGTGAAGAACATTGAACAGATCCACTTCAAAACAACATAATGAACTCTTGCAGAAAAAAGCACCGACGCACAGTCCCTTCGGCATGAGCGCATTCAAACCACACATAAACATGGACATAAACTTATACCAGTTGCTCCCAGTCAGAAACCGACAGCTTGTCACATGAGAGTGCTGGAAAACTTCACGAGTGGTGCGGTTGGGCAGAACCCGTGGAGCCCTGCCTGCGCATCCCTACAGTTTAGTACCGTCAGCAAATTCGCACTCAGTTTCGAGACAGTAAAACATCAGGCTTTCTTGGCTGCATGGAGAGCGATAGACGGGGAGTAAGTAAATCAAAGCATATGCTGACAGAAACTCACTCTAATTTCAAAGCCCTCCACCACGATCTTGACAGGGCCCTAAGATACCAAACTATTAAAAAACATAAGGGGGTGCCAAAACAACCGCTGTGATGCTGGGAAGAAAACGAATGCTGCGGATGATGCCTGATGTCACGGTGCAGCCGGAGAGCTCTGACTCCAAAAAAAAAAAAACTCTGAGATTTGAAATTAATTTCTAAAATAATGACCCTGGTACTGAACAGACGCATAACTACAAGGAAACGCAAGGAAGCGTTTTCGGGTTCATCTCCCTCATCCTAAAGCACGTCTGAGAGCTAGAAGGTGTCTATTTACCTTTCCAATAAGGAGACAGAAGTGGGCTCAGGAGTTCAAGACAATAGAG